AAGGAGGATTTGGGTCAGTGTTTCAAGGGACACTATGTGATGGCACCAATGTAGCAGTGAAGCATCTCAATGGTTTTGGTCAGGTTAAAAAGTCATTCTTAGCTGAAGTTGAGACAATAGGCACCACTCACCATGTCAATTTGGTGAGATTAATTGGATTTTGTGCTAAAAAATCGTATCGTCTTCTAGTTTATGAGTACATGTCCAAAGGATCCTTGGATACATGGATCTTCCAAAGGCACCAAGAGCTCACACTTGGGTGGCAATCTAGAAAAAACATCATCATGGATATAGCCAAAGGGCTAACCTATCTCCATGAGGAATGCAGGCAAAAAATATTTTGCTTAGATATCGAACCCCAAAACATTCTAAAATTTCTGATTTTGGATTGTCAAAACTAATTGATAAGGACCAAAGCCAAGTTGTAACAATGATGAGGGGAACACCAGGCTATTTGGCTCCTGAATGGTTGAGCTCAATTATCACAGAGACAGTAGATGCTTATAGCTTTGGTGTCGTAGTCTTGGAAATGTTGTGTGGGCAAAGAAATTTGGATAGATCTCAGCCTGAAGAAGATATGCATTTACTAGGTCTATTTAAGAGGAAAGTAGAAGAGGAACAACTTCTGGATATCGTTGATAAATACAATGATGACATGCAGACAAATAGAGTAGAAGTCGTGGAAATGATGAGGGTTGCTGTGTGGTGTCTACAAAGTGATTTTTTGAGAAGGCCTTCCATGTCAGTGGTGGTTAAGGTCTTGGAGGGTTCAGTTGAAGTTGAAAACAATTTGGATTATAGCTTCACAACTCCTGTGGTACCAAGAGCAATTGCAGTTCCTGGTCACCAAGTGAATGCCATTGGTGCTGCTACTGCATTATTGGCATCAACTTTATTAGGGCCAAGGTAAAGAACGTAGACTCCAGCAAGCAAATTACAGCTGATTTGTTTAAAGTTTTTGTATTCCTTTTCTTATGTAGGGAATTATAATCTAGGATTTTTATTTGTGCACATCACAGTCCATGATACCAAGATTAATGTGTTTGATTTTAGTTTTCTAAATTCAGTTTTATGAAAATTGCGTTTTTTGTTTTTCGTATTTTTTTTTTGTTTTTAGTTAATATTTTTTAAATTTTAAGCAATTTTTTTACTTTTTTAGATGCACCTTACTTAGATGTATCTAAATAGTAAAATATTTGTGAAAAAATATTTTTAAAAATTAATAAATACACAAAAATATGAAAAATGTATTGAATTTTGTTTTTGTTTTTGTTTTTGTTTTTTTTTTTTGGTTGTATTTTTTGGTATTTAGTGTATTTTAAATATTTTTTTTCACAAATATTATACTTTTCAAGTGTATTTATGTTAAGTGTGTCTAAAAATTAAAAACAAAATTGCTTAAAATATTAAAAAAATTCATTGAAGACATTAAAATACGAAAAATAAAAAAATAGGATTTTTTGAGAATTATTTTCTGAAAATCAAAACCAAACAAGCTGGTGTTTTAGGTAGTGTCGATAAAATTTCAACTCTCTCAATAATATTTGCCCTTTTTATTTCTTCAAGTTCTTGCATCATCATTTCCATAGTACATACAAAAACCACATGAATGTAGTGAGCAAGATTAGATTTCCCATAGTTTTAATTTAAACATTCTCAAGTTCTGTTGTGAAGGGAAAGAAGATAGATATTTTGTGAGAGTATGCGAGTTTTCCCATGATTCAAGTAAAACAAGTCAACATCAAATTAGTGGGTTACAATTCAAAGTTTCTTCTCCAAAAGATGTGTCAATGAATAGTTAATTAAGTTTGAAGAAGGAACAAAGCCGGCTTATATTTTTGACAAATTTAGAGCTAGTTTATAACTAATTAATTTGGTTAAAGGGTTGTGTTCTTGAATTACTGGGAAAGAAAAACATATTGTACATCAGTTAGTCTGCAGAATGTGAAATTTTTTTTCCTTCACTTTGTGCCTAACTAGGAAAACAAAAAGAGCGTGACATGATGAACAAAAAATTCACATTCTACTTGCCATATTTTCCCCCCTTTGCTTTTCCAGAACCTACTGAACTGTAACAGCAAATGGAGAAACTAAAATCTGAGTTGCAATATTTTTCTTGTATCATGTTTTACATCGATTCTGTGCATTTGATCAATGCCCAACCTATTGTGCATTCAATGGCTAAATCTAATTGGGGCCCTTTATTTTTTTGTAATCTTTATTTAAAATTCATAAAAATTCCCTAACCTTTGCAATCAAAATAATTTTGATAAAAAAGCCTTTTATTTATAAATATTATTTTTTGTTGTCTTGACTAGAGAATGCAAGAGGTGTAATGTAAATGTCCTCTAGTAAGAGAGGTTGTTTTCCATTTTTATGATTTGACTGATAGTCTGAGATAACTCATGAAGTGGTATTCTTGTTTGATAATTTATGATTTAACCATTTTTATTTTTTTACTAAGAAATTTTTTGTTACTCTTTTATTGTGGAGAATTATTTTGACTATAATTTCTTTGATGTATACACATATTGTATAATGAATATGCAATAAGTAGGCCCTCTTCTACTCAGGGGCCTAATCGAGCGCCTAAGTTGTCTAACCCTTGAGCCACCATTAGTTTGCAATAGATATGGTATGATAGCCTGGCAAGTCCGGACTGCAGTTGCCCAAAAGTGGCTAACAGCAACACAAGCAAGCTATATTAAGCAAATAAATGATAAGCATCATAATTTTGGATGTTCTGAAATTACTCCCTTGTCTTGCAAAGCTTCAAAATATCACAAGGTCATAAAGTTAAAGAATTTTACTTACTTCATTGTGAAGGCGAACAACTCAAATACTATGAATACATAGGCATGAAGAGTGTTGTTGGAAGCTAAGCTCGTTTAAGTAGTTGCTACTGCAGAGCTGCTCTGTTTCGTTCAAGTGAAGTACCCAATAAAAATTCAAGTGGAAAATGCTCTATATATACTAACAGAGATCATCTCAATAAAGGTCAATATAAAGCGCAGGTTAAGTCAATAATCAGATTTGTAATCAAACTGGTATCCAACCTTGGATCATTTTTCTTGTAGCGATCCCAGTTTTGCCATTTCGCTGAGTATGTCGGGATTGAGCTTCCCGGTCAGCTCGCGGGGGTCCAGGGGGCAGCACCCCTTGGCGAGTCCAATGGCAGCCGCCATGGCGGGAATCGAGCTGCCCGGTCAGCTCGCGGGGGTCCAAGGCAACACTCCTTGGCGGCGTCAAGGGCAGCGCCCTGGCGGGGATCGAGCTGCCCGGTCAGCTCACGGGGTCCAAGGGGTAGCGCCCTTGGTGGGTCCCAGGCAGTGCCCTAGCGGGGTTGTAGGGGCAGCGCCGCTCGAAGCAAAAATGCAAAATGCATTAGAAGTTGCTTGTCCGCTCAAGCGGCCGTTTATGCGCTTGAGCGGAGAATGTTTGGTTTCAGAAGTTTAACTTGTTTGCAAAAGTACTGGGAAAGTGTATTTGGCGCTCGAGCAGGGCTTTCCACGCTCAAGCGGACCATGCTATATTAATTTGTGAATTTGATATTTCATATCACTTTTGTATATATCTCTCTCTTGAAAAACCCTTTCATCTCCCTTCTCTCTACATTTCCCTACGCCAAATTGGATCAAAACCTTGATTTCTCAAGATCCATTAGAGTTGTGCCATAAGTTCTTCATCAAAGTTGTTTAACTTCTCGAGGGCTTCATTGTGTGCGGTGAAGATCGAGTTTCGACACCGTTGATTTTGGAGGTTTCATCTCATTTCTTCTTCAAAACTTGAGGTAGGGATTTTCTTAGAGTTATATATAGGTGTCGAGCCTTCCAGTTAATACTGGTAAAAATGACAGATTATAGGTGTCGAGCCTTCCAGTCAATGCTAGTAAAAATGACAAATTGGTAGTACTTATATAGTCTACATGCAGACACCGACCTAGGGATTACCAAAGTCGTATTTACCACTCTTGAAATGAATTGTTAAGTTTTGAAGAATTGAAATTGCATGACATCATTGAGCAGGATGGTTTTCAAAGATGAAGATGTGGTTTTCTTTCAAAAGAGCATAGCATAGTATGTGCATTTCATCTCTTGAGACTTGTATAAAATGTATGTATTTTGTTAAGGATTTTCTACTGGGCTTTATGCTCACCCTACGGAATTTTTGTGCAAGAAAAGATGTGGTGATGCCGCCTAACTAAAGGCGAGGAAATGTGTGTTGAGAGTACGAGACTCTCATTTTGCTGTGACTCTGTGTGTAAGCCAAGTGCTATATGTGTGTGAGTTTAAATAACCGTTTTGTGTAACCTTGAAAACTTGTAAACCCTTGGAGGTATTGATTTGTTTATTTACTTGTTGTTGGATTAATGTAATGTTGCATGAAGAACTATTGTAT